TGATTTCAGGGACAAACCGGTTACCCGTGGATCGATGCGATCATGATACAGCTAAGGCAAGAAGGATGGATCCACTGCATAGCGAGACACGCAGTCGCGTGCTTTCTCACTCGGGGTGACCTATGGCTATCTTGGGAAGAAGGAATGAAGGTATGCAGGGGAAATAAACCCCTCTGTTCATTTAATAAATGACACCATATTATATGAACTTCGATATTATTCTAGTTATATCACGTTTTATGTACGTTATAAATAATACGAAAAAGACTGAAAATCCTTAGGTATTCGATGAACTATTGTTGGACGCCGATTGGTCAGTAAACGCTGGTTATTGGATGTGGTATTCGTGTTCGTCGTTTTATCAAGAGTTCATTCACTGCTATTGTCCGGTTAGGTTTGGTCGAAAAGTAGATCCGAACGGTGATTATATAAGGTAAAATACATATAATATGTACCTATGTACAAGTAATATACCAGTATTATTAAGCATATTATTATATTTTTAACTATATTTTTTCTAAAACTTATAATTTATAGTAAAATTTATATTTTAATCGAAAAATTGTTAGAAATATCAATAATATATGAGTAATTAGTTTTTACTTATTAATTATTACTCAGTAACTAATAATAAAAATAGGTATAACTATAATACATAGTTATTGGCTATTTTAAGTTTGTTATACCTACTAATAGTTTTACTTGTTTGATGTGTTTCATCGTTAAGTTCGATTGATGAATGATATAAATGTATTCTATAGTTATTATTACTATTAGAAATGTTATTAGTAAACAAATTGAATATAAGTCTCGTAGTATGAATTCAACGAATTAATTTAAAAAAAAAATTTTTTTTATAGGAGATACATTCCAGCATTAAATAACATGCCTAATCAATATATTCACGAGCCATGGTTGGCTCCTGAGTCCATTCAATTTACTGCAAATTGTATAATTGGCATTGATTACCCATTACCAATCGTCAATCACGTCAATGCTTCTAAAATCAATCTCGAGCGAATGAAATTGGCGTATCAACAGCTGTCTAACTGCCAGCCGCAGTTAGAAAATGGTAAATTAATTCTAATCTCCTCGCTAAAAAGATAAACAAGACATTGTACACATACAGTTTAAAAATAAGTAGTTATAATATTTTATTTATAATTTAAAATTATTGAAGTAATTTATGATATCTTAAAAATAACATGAATGTATTAATTGTACAATACTTATATAAACATATTTATTTTAACAATTATATAGGTATTATAATGGCAATACAGTAGTATTCCTAAATGTTACCAACAAATAATTATTCTATGAAGTTTCCAAGATAGAAAATATATTTATTTTTTTAACTATAAAATCCCGTAGATGCAATATATGTGCGTTGAAACAATCATGTTATAGCTAGCTGGTAGGAGTCTATCATATAACATTTTTAAGATTTTCGTTCATTTAAATTTTATCAACAGGTACATTTTCGTTAACCTAATATATAATCATACAGGTGTGATACATAATATAGATAATAAGTATTTGAGTTATTTGTTTACTCTAAATTTAAAATGCCTGTATTTTTTATTCTTGAATGCATACATTTGTTTAAGCATACCTATTACATAGTTTTCTTTTTCTACATTTAATATTATGTACATTAAATAAAAAATATTTATAAATATATAACAAATTTAATAGATATTTATCATTAATATAATCTTACATAGTATCTATTGATGAATTTATGTTAGTATTAAAATACTATAGAATATGATAAGAATATTTTAAATTATATTATTTATTAATGACTGAAACCTTATAACTACAGGTATGTATATAATATTGTAATATTTAATTTGTAATTTGTTTTGGCATAAGATTCTATACTTATATAAATAATTACATTTAATTCCAAATTAAACACTGGTAGTAATACATATTTTAATAAAACATTTTTTAAGTGTAAATAGTAAAATAAATTAATAAATTATTAAATTATTATCTTTATTGGTACATATTGTTAATTAAAACTTATTATAAATCAAAAAAAATTTTTTTTTTAAACTTTACATTATTGAATAATTTTATAATTATTTGTATTTATAAACTATAATTGGTAGTATTTAAGTTTAATAAAACTATTACCTATATTTTTAACTATATATACTAATTAAGAGATAAAAGAAAATAAGGAACAAAGGAACATGTTAAAGGATTTTATATATGATATAATAATACTTTTTAATTGTTGTTATTATCTTTTTTATTCTGATTATAAGTATAAATAAACCATATTATTTGGTATTTTAAGATTTTTTATTGCCGAGTATATTGCTATATTTATTATATTATAATAATATAGAAGAAATTTTGCACAGTTGTAACATTTTTATCTTATTAATTATTATTATTTCCAAAAATATTAAAAACATTTTACTTTTAATTACAACTAAAATGTGTGTAACTAACCTTTAATTTTGAGTTTTCATTAAAAATAGTTAAATAAAAGCAGATTGAAAAGAAACCCCATATATACAGAGAAAAATTTTAAGTAAATAATAATTATACTTTCATAATTTTAATTTATTTAGCAATTTTGTACCTCCTTAAAATAAAATATAACTTTTAATTTTTCATTCAATTATGTTATACTGTACAATTTTCGGTAATATAAATTATAAAGAATCTATAGCTCTATCTTGAACATAATATATATATTTATACAATAATTTTTATTAACTCATATTTCTTCCATTTAATTTTCAAAGAAATACCGATTTTATGTATTTATGTATAATAATAATCTATAAATAATAGACAGGGATTTCATTACGATTATACAATTATTATTAACACATAATGCAGAGTGGTATAAACAATATGACACATGTTATTGTGACAATTCCGTAATAGGCAATAGTGGGATATTTATGCCAAGATAAACATTGTTAATGATTGTGAGGCCTGTGACCAATACGCACCATTTATCGAAAGGGCAGTTCGAGACTGACCAGCAATAAACACGAACTCACCAACAAACATGAACTCACCAACACCGGGATTGTTTACCATCATCTACATTTGTTAAGTACAAACCAAAAATATATTTTGAACAGAGATTTATAAACCAAACGTGTTTTATTTATTGATAAGATCCCACATACCGTGTTCTAACCCCCTAGCTACGGGAAATTTATCCATAAGAACCAGAAAACCTTCGCTGGATAACTAATATATAGTAACTAGGTTCCCCAGCCACGTTACATTATAATATTGTAAAAGGGTTTCTATATAATAAAGCTAACTCAATTTTTTTTTCATTTGTTTCATAATATTATAACACTTTATATTTTTGTACATGTATAATATGTCAAGTTCCAAATACTCTAATAATTACTTTTTGCAAATTAATCCAAGTAAAAATGATCTCAAAAATTTGACTTAAAATTAATATCAATGTAAAAATAATTAAATTGTATAATTGCTTTACTTACGAATCAAAATTTACATGTAATTTACATATAAATTTACATTTATTTTCGTATTTTTTTTTTATCAAAATATGAAATAAATGAAATAACTCACGAGCGTCTTGCTAATATATTTCTAGTGGATTAATGTTAGGGTAAAATAATATATAATATATATAACGATAAAAAAAGTCAGAGGAAAAATTAATAATTTAGAAACTCTTTTATTTCTTAGGCATTTACATAATTATTAATTATTTATTTATCATTATCATTACTATTATTATAAAAATTTCTTTAATGACTTCTGGGAACATTTTCATCTTACGCTGTTTATTAGTTTATGCTTAAGTGTCATTAATGCAAATTCATCATAGATAATTTTTTTTTCATTTTTTTTATTAATTTTGCATTAACCATTATCATAATAGTGTTGATTCAACACTGATATGACAAACGGTTGGTTATAATGAATATTAATGCTATATCATAGGTGCTAGTGTTACCTATTTCTTAGTTTTATATGGAAATACCTTTTAATTGAGATATCATGTAAATCACGTTCATGAACTTGACCCACCTACTGTATACGATATTCAAAAAACTAATATCAAAAGTTAGCAAATATTTGCAAATATCATCAAATTTATTGCTTAACTAATAATCTTTGTGGAAATTATAAGTTTTTTTTATAGTAAGATGGGCTAAGTTTAGTTAGCCCTAACACTTTGCCCGATCGCTGATCATATCAAAACAAGAACAAGTAGTTAGCAAGTAATAGAAAATCCAATTTTGAAGTTAACAAATCAAAATTGTATTTTTTCCGAATTTTTTTATAAGTTTCTCAATTTTATTTACTGTACACTCGTAGCAGGTAGTATTCAATTTGATTAACTCCGATTCTTCCAATAAACACCTAATACAAAGTAATAATTTTTAAATTTATTATTATAATACTAATTAATATATAAACTTTTAAACACCTTTATCATGTTTGTTGAATGTAGCTCAAAATTTGTTCAATAGCGTTTATCATTTATTGCTGTTTACAATAATAGCCACAGTAAAAAAATAATTAAAAATAATTATTAATTAATATTTAAGTGTTTTTTTTTTTTGGCTTTAAAAATTTTTTTTTCAAATTATCTGGATCACCATAGAGTTTAATTGGTAATCTTTGATCTAATTCATTATACTAAAATCCTAAGTACGCCACTAACAATAATCTAATAAATACTATTTTGAATTATATTATATACTGTAGCTTTTAAGGAAAAAACTATTAGAATATAAAAGTAAAACTATTCATATAAAGTAGTAAAATTATTTAACTAAGTTAACAATCATTCAATTTCAGCAATAATACTAAGTATAAAAATTATAATAGTTATTTTTATTAAGAAACAATGTTACAATAGATAATTTTTTACATTAAAAAGTTAAATAAAAATTAATTGAACTTATTAATACCCATTTTTGTTATATAATTCTATATACAATATATTTAAAATCATTATGTTGTAAAATAAATTGTAATCAAATTAAATTTGAAAATTAAAAACTAAAATAATACATTAACAAGTATGAAAAATTAAAAAATCAAAGTCATCTGATTTCTTAGTAATTCATTTATGTTGAAAGTGTTGCTTTGAGTCGTCGAATTCCAAAACACGGATGATGAAACAAAAATATTAGGGAGTTGAAATTATTTTTGGCTTTTCTTTTTTTAACCTCATTAATAAAAGTATAACCATAAAGCCCACTGAAAAATTGAATAAAAATTATTTTTATAAATTTGACATAATATTGTTTACAATTAAAATAAAATAAATTATATATTTTCTTACAAAAATTAAACGTTGCCAATGTCATATATGGCAACTCGCAATTGATCCTATCTAATACAGGTATGATTAAATTTCCGAAGACAACTCCAATTCTACCAAACATAATCACCATATTTACCGCCATACCTCTGAAAAATATATATAATTGATAATTATTAAATTATTAAATTACACATTTTATTAAAGTAATACGTATCAACCTTTAGTGATCTATTGGCTTTTTTTTAAGCATTAGTTTAATATAGTTATCACCTTTTCACCTAAATAAAATATATTAACATCACATTATTATTATTAACAGTTTACCTAACACACATATAAGGATGTATATATTATCATTTATCATATTTATTATATTAGAGGCAAGATGGTTAGGGGTTTTGTATTTTAACAAGTTTCAAAACATGGATAAATGTATTACCTAAAAAAAAATACAAAATAATAAATCTTTAAATTGAGCATTATTTTAATTTTGAATAATATCCTTTATTTTTATTGTTCTCAAATTAATTAATATACTAATTAATTTGAAAGCAATTTTTTTTGATTCTGTTATAATAAATAGTTTTAAATTTTAATATGGTATATTCATATTTCTCTGCATTAATATTACACTTATGAGTTGTGATTTATTATTGTTAATAGATTTAAATTTAATTTAGAAAAAAAAATCAAATTATTATTATTCAATTAATGATTTTGTTAACAGGTTTTTATTATTAATTGTTTTTCTTTTTTACATAACATTTAAGTAGATACATGGATATAACCATAAGCGCACATAGGGGGTGCTTGGGGGTGCTTAGCACCCCCAATTTCCTGTAAAATTTATTTCAGTATTTTATCAATCATTTGAAAATTATTGTAATTCATTGGGTTGGAATTTTTTTTCCATTACAAATAGACAATATGTAGCTTATGAATTCACGATTAATAATGTATTGATTGTATTGTATGAATGCACGTTCCACTGTTCCAGTTTTCGTCTAAACGTTGAACATTAACAGCAATCATATAATAAAAATTTGCATTATCTAACAGAAAATTAAATCTTGTTTAAAATTAATTAGTGATTAGATATTATTATTATATATATATATATAATATAAATACATTTTAATATTAATTATAATAATTAAAAATTATTAGAATGCAGTTTATTATGGTATTAGGGGGGTGTGGGGGCAAAGCCCCCCACGGATCTGTTTACTGTAAATTATTCCAGCACCCCCCTAAATTCACACCCAATGTGCGCCTATGGATATAACACAATTAATTGCATTTGGTTAATAAAATTACATAGATGAAGTAGCATCTTATGAAGGAAGTTTAGTCTACAATGTTTACTATTACACCTACCTCATTGATAAATTTAATTTAAATTAAATTATTTACTATTAATTATAATTAATTAAATTATAAAATTTAAAAATTTTATGGCGTGTACAAATAAGAATGATAGTATTACATATTTGCAAAAATTATTATTATCTTAGAACTAATTATTTTATAAGTATACAGAACTTAAATACCAAACTTGATTATTTAGTTAACTTTTATTAAACAATGTATGAATTATTTGATTTAACGTTTACCTTAGTGTGGTAGGGACAGCCGAAGCCATAATACTAATCACTAGAGTCGTATTGATGTTCATTATAGCTACGTAAATAGCTGATAAAGTTAAGGTGACAATTCCATTTGTCCACGGAAATATTGAAATGCTAATTCCACCCAATACTGAAAAAATGACTGAAAATCAAATTTATATGTTAGTCGAGCCACACAATTATATTTCATTATATTTGCTACATACATTATTAAGTAAGATAATTTACATGTTACTATAAAGTGATAAATTATAACTTGACTATTACCATTGTTAAAAATAACTCCTTGAACATGTATGATTTAGTGATTACAATAATTTATAGGTACCTACTGAATTCTTTCATGAAATTTGTTTACTAGGACCTAATACTATATTTAAATTATTAAATTCTAAATTTAATTTTTAAATCCTATATAGTTATATTACCTGTATAATATACACTTACTATATATGTAATTTTTATCCATGTATTTTGTAATGTATATGGCGACCCAAAACATACTAAAAACTGCTGATCCAACAATCATAGATTTGATGTAGATTTCTGGATCAACTAAAGCAAGTGTCTAAAAAATTTAATATTTTTTTTTTTTTATATTTAATAATTACAAAATATAACAAATTACGTGTACAATTATAGTAGATACTTACTCCTTTACAATCTGCAGTGTAAGTAACATTAGTTGAAGTTCTGGATTCGCATACTGAAAGCGAGTGATCGCCTTTAGCTGCAATAATTGTTGCATACATATTTGGCAGTCTTAATCGAAATGTGTTCAATCTGCGTATTTTATTTAACCGAGACGTTGGTAAGTAATATTTATACATAAAAAAAAAAAAAAACTTATCTAATAACCAAAACTTTAAATTGAATTACAATTCCAAGAACCCAAATCCAAACAAAATACTAAAGCATTTATCAAAATCAACATATTAATTTATATATTGTAATTTTATCCACAGCAAATTAGCTATTGAGAACGAGGAGCGCTTTAGAAAATGAAAAATCACTTCTGTCTTACTACATAAGTACTTATATAAACTAGTATTAGTATTTAAAAAATTGATTTTATTCTAATATTTATTAAATAAACACTTCAAACTCACGTCAACATTGTCATGAATAGCAACAAGAATGTCAACGATGATGGAGTTAAATATGGTTGCAAAAAAAAAGGTTTTATTTGAATCCACCCTTTTCTTATAAACTTCGTAATAGTTATCGATGGCATAGATTTTAAAGATTGTTCTTCTGATAATTCTGATCTTAAAACGCTAATCTAAATAACATTATATTTAATATATTTCAACAGGTCGATAAAATTCAAATGAATTTATTAGTATTTTTTTTTATTTACAAGCTTATTAAATACTTACGGGATACGATTCCGGTGGATTGCCTGTATTTTGTGAATATATTTTTTTAAATACATTTAGCGCTTCTTTATGGCGACCGACGGCCATTAGGAACTTTGGACTTTCGTCCATGGTATAAACTAAGAACGCAGCTAGAAATACCATGATTGAACAAGTTATCAGGAATACTCTCCAATTATCAATAATTAAATATCCATTTAAAAATTGAAGATTGATATCCATCGGAATCAAGAAATAAGCCACAACTATACAAACAATAATTTCTTGTTATATAAATATTGTTAAAATAATTATAAAAATACGTACGAGGTTGCAAAACAAAAGCAAAGGACGAAAATCCTCCTGCGTACAATACAATTTTATCTCGATGTTCTTTATCATAGAACTCAGACAAAAAAGTAAATGCGAGAGAATACGGACCACATGTTCTAAAAAAAAAAATGTGATATATTTAATCATTAGTTTAGCTAAGATTTCACGTGGGGGCTGATACTTTGTTATATACGGGAGGCTTATTTATTTGAATTCATCATTAATAAATACCTACGCTGATGCCACGGATATAAAACATTTTATTTTTTTGCAATAACTTTCATATAAATTACAATCTTAGTACATGGTTAAGTATTAGTGTACTACGCAATACGTTTACAGAATACTGAAAACATTTTTAAATTTTTCTGAAATTTCTAGGAGAACTGTAGTTTCTTAGCTTCTCTATCTACGTCACTTCATTTTATATTATAGTTTAACGTAAGGATGAACAAGTAACAATTGACGTGGCAGCTCACGTACCCTTTTTAGTCAATCGAAAAAAATGTGACTTAACAAACAATACAGGCCGTGATATTTGAAGGTTTCTAAAAGTAGCACTTTTAGAAATTTGAGTTGCCCATCCCTTCAGTTATAATTTTTGGTGTGTTAAATTCATTTACCTCATCTGATTAAAAGAGTGAATATGAAATACTCACGCGACTCCACAAAAGAATTTGAGAACGACCAATACCCAAAATCTTTGAACGAATCCTGATAGAAACTCCATAATTCCACTCAACAGTATGCCATAGAATAACAATTTTTGTCTTCCTAGCGTATCGATGAGAAAACCCCATACAAAAGCGCTCGAAACCATACCTGCGAAAAAAAACATTATAATGTTAGCAATATATAAAACAGTATAAATATAATCAGTATAACTACAAATCACCACGACAATGTTTCACGTAAATACTGTATATATAATATTATGGTACTAATACTTGAGAACTGACCTACGTAAACAGCTCCGAACAGCGAACCCTCTTCCAGAGGTGACAAATCGAAGTAACATCTTACCGCTGGCAATATAAACGACGGTGAACTGGTACAGAACAATGAAGTTAGCGTTAAAGGTATGTACAACACAAGCATTCTTTTATTATAAATGCCATAACCTAAAATACATGTATAATGCAAATCAACGATAATGATAGGTAATTAGATATATAGGTTAGGTTAAGTACTAATACAGCTTATAATTATACATATTAAACGGATATTACCATTACTGCAACAGTCCTTTTCCGCTAAAATAGAAAAAGGTACGATTCCCATTTTTATCAAAGAACATAACCATTAAAAAAAATTCGATAATCAATGATTTTAATTTTTTGTTAATGTAATATGGAATAGTGTTTTGCAATTTTTAAATTATCATGAAACAGTATTCAATGATATTCATTAATTATCGATACCAAAAATATAAAATGGAACCATATCCATCAAGATATTTGTCAAATACATAGAAAAATAATATTAGATGAGATTCAGCTATTAAACTTTTCTAGTAACTAGTTCAAATCGTTAAAATTCATTTAATAACTTTATGATTATTCATATATTTTTTTTTAATACTTTAATTTAATTATATTATTTGATTTAAGTATTATTATTATTTGTATTAAATTTGTTGCGATATTTTAAAGTATTTAAATTTAATGGATATGATATCATGTAAATTTGCAATTATATATAGTCAAATGTACCAGAACCGTTGAGTCTAAAGCCCTTCGTGGGCTTCATGTCACACGCCATGACGTGCATTTGTATATTTAAATTAAATAAACAACAGTTTTAAAAGTATCATTGACTTTACACTTATTTCAAACCAACGACGAAAAAAATGAAAAGTAAGCGCACTATAATGATTAAAACTTTTTATTTTATTTTAGTATCTACTCACAATTGTTACATTTGTATGTGATTTCTAAATAATATTTGTCAAAACTCAAAAACGTTTTTTTACAAAAATACATTTTTATGAAAATTTTCGGTTTTGGTGTAAATTGAGGAACCAATTTTTTTGCAAAAACGGGATATGCTCTATTTAGTTCTGGTTTAGGGGATTAAATAACTGTACAGGGTGATTTCTTTAAAGTTATTTTTGCTTAAGATAAATGTTTTTGAAATTGTTAAGTATAAATATTAAAAGCCAATATTTTTAAGTTAACGTTTTATGAAGTTACAAATTGCTTATTGTTTTTCAAATGATTTTCCTTATTTTACTACTTATTGTTAACTAAATATATTAAATATTAATAAATAATAATTTGACTATTATCTTTATACGTATATACTCATAAAATATTCCTTATCTTGGTTCACATTAGCACTTTGCCCTTTACTAATATTCTTGTATAAACGTTGAACAATTAAAATTAATTAATCATTTGTTCGTTTTTAATTGTATGTACTAACATAATAACACGAAATTCCGAGAAATTAATTATATTAGATAATTAATAAGTAATAACATTAACTATTGTACTATTCAAAAGTTAAAAATTGAATGATAGTATCTTTTATATAGGATCGATAAAAATAGTTAAATTAAGTCAAATTAAAAATGTAACCAAAAATTAAAAGTATTAATAAACTTAATGTTTTTATTAATCTTTGCTAATTTATAATATAATATAGATCTTACCTGTATGGCTGATGGCTGTTTCGAAATCTGCTGGAGTAGCCTCAATTTTATTGATATCATCTTTTGTTCCTACGACCATTAAAACAGCTTAAATATTTATTTAAATAGTATTATTGTGTGCTTATATTGCTAATTGATCATGAAACTGATATGATTTTTGCTTGGTTTTACTAAGACGTGTACGGTTCTGGAAGAGTACTCAATGTGTTATATGTCAAAATTAAACTAATTTGTAAACATAATATCTAGTTAACATTAGGCACACGTCATAGCAAATCAATTATCTTGTAAGAATCGTAGCTTAGTTTTTTTGTTTTTGTTGTTCATATAATTAGGTAATTACATGGTCACGTACATAATCATGATACATTGTTCGGTAATGTTTTAGTAACCTGTCAACGCTATATGTCTTGTTATATATTTGAAATTCAGTTAAGTATTTATTAACTTTTTATCCCTCATTAATTTATATAATAAAGCAATTTAATAATCTATAATTTGATGCGTGTATCTATACTTCTATAGTCTTAATGTCAAATAGTTGATTATTAAATACATAGAATATCTTCGTTGATAATAAATAAAGGAATTTTAGATTTTCAGCAATGTTTTACCCATTATTATCAGCAGATATTTTTAAATTAGAAATTTACAGTTTGTTTATTTAAATACATATTATTAACAAGTCGTATATGATATGAACATTTGAAACGCTTTGTTTAGTGAAAATATATTTAAATAATAGAGTATACAAATTGACATGGTTTATGAATAAGCATGTGAATTAAATTTAACAAACTTAGGTTAGTACATCTATTTTCAAAAATATATCTTTTTCGTGAAACGGTTATCTTATATTATTTTAATCCATATTTTAAAATATGCAGGTTTTAAGGAAGTTTGTATTGTACTAATGTTTATGGCTGTATTTTAACTATATATTTTAATACGCTCTGTATAGTACTTATTATAAAAATATTGAATAGAATAATTTTAATTAAATTTATTAGCCACAATATCTTGTGGATTGCGCCCAACATTAAATTTTACCATTAGGTACACTAACTATATCCTGACATTAAAACATAATTTTCTTTCCCATTCTTTACAGACATAGGACTATTAACTGAAATTTATTGTTTAAATTGATATAGTGTCATCAGCAAAACAATCCTTAATGCCATCTGGTTTTAAAAAAAAAAAGTAAGTTTAGTTTTTCTAACGGAAAACTTACATTTTTTCTTATAAATAATGGTTTTATAATCAATAAAGATGTTCTAAAATCTGTTTTGAATTTGCTATACTCAATGGAACGAGAATATAACTAATGTATATTTTATAAGTATATAAATTGTTTTACGGACGCAAGTCGTGTACCCGTTTAAATAAAACTAAGACAAATTTCCATAATGGATTTTTTTATTTCAGGACGCAATTCATATTTAGCTAATACAAAATACTACCTAGTATCATTACCATTAGTTTAATATTAGAATATTAGAGTAAGTAATTAAATATTATAATTATATATATTTATTGAATTGATAAACAGTATTTTACTATACCACATACACATATATTATTGATTGAATGTAATTTTAATTTTGTTAAAATTATTCACGAGTATTATGAATATTGATAAAATACATTAAGAGGTTTATTTTTTCTATACAAACCTAATATCAATATTGTATATAATATTTTATCAGTAATATAAAATCTTTGAATTTTAAGTATATTTAATATATTATTTATATTTAAACGAGTAAAATATGACGTAAAGAATACCTATTGTAAGAGAAATTAGTGACACTATTTTAAAATTAAAAAGCAAAATTAGAGATATTTTCTTAGCTTTTTATTCAAGCTTAAGCTGACACCTTAACGTAGTTTTGGTGAGATTGAATTTTTTTATTGTTTTGTATACTTAACTATAAGTTTTATATAAAATCAATATGAATAAGATCAAAAAATTCCTAATATCGTTTTTTATACCATGTTCTTTGATTTTAGTTTATTGTTGCTCTAAAATATTTCATTTTATACATTTTTAAATTCGTAACAATTTATACTTCTTAATAAATAAATTTATTCCACCAGTAATTATAATTTTCTATACGCAATAAAACTATCGAAATTATTCGAATAATTTAACACGTATTTATTCACGCCATTCAATATTCTCTGATACAATGAGTTAATGCGATCTTTTTTGCAAAAATAAGATCAACGAATCAAAAGGATTAATACTAATAAAATATTTTAAGATTAAATGTTTTAGAAATAAATATTGATCCATTCGTATCCTTCACTCATCGTTTTATCGTACAGGTACAACGACTTAACATTGAATAAAAAATTAACACGCCTTATAAATAATCTACTCAATGACTAGGCTTACTTAAAAAGTCATAATCTATTTTATATACAGCAAAAAAAATCTAGCTATAAAATATACCGTTTGTTTTTCAAAAATTATAAAAGAATAGGACATAATTGACAATAATAAATGAGATGGAATTCGACAAATATAAAATACTTAACTATGCTAGACTTATTAAATATTCAATTTATAATATATAAAATCAATTTCTTAAAAAATATATTCTATACATTTTTATTTTGCTTTAATACCTAATTCGAAAATATAATATTTTCATGTACTTAAAAAAATTATTTCTTACCTTTATCACATTTTTTCTTGTCATCTTCGTGGAATTCATTACTGCCTTTAATATCATTTTCCAGTTGCAAAATCATGATTTGGGTAGTGCCTGGCCTCCCAATACACACATATTATAAACAAATATTTTATTTCCGAGGAATTACAATAAATATTTCAAATACCGACCGATTTCACTGTTAAGCAAACTAACAAAGGTATAAACAAAAAAATTACATGTTTTTCGTGCGTATTATGACAACACAATAATAATATATTAATGTAAATTTATATACGGGAATATACAATATATTATTATTGTTTGTTGGGGGTGTAGATATAAATTTTAAAATATTATTAAATTTCAATTTTTAATTTACAATTCTACAACATATGCCATTCGGTCGGTACTATAGTATAAAACAAAAATAAATTACCTACTTGTTTTCATAAGACATATTTTACACGACCTAAATTATTATAGGTACAGAGTAGACATAATAATCACGTGGAAATGCATGAAATCTATAACGAAAAGTCGTCGATTTATTCATCTATAGTCATGACTATAATATTACAGAAATGTATCATCATCGCTGCTCTTTGCTATCTGTTGATATCACAGTAACATAACGAGCCAACCGTTTAACCAAACAATAAATAATTATAAAACCATAATCACTGGTATACTATTGCGTGTCATGTGACAATTTATAAATAACAAACGATAGACGGATACCTATATATTATCAATTAGAGCGTCCAATGACTTAACTTCCAGTTATCGGATCTATATTATGTAATTATAATTAACATTAGATATTATAAAAACGGCTTTAAAAAAATTTTGACACGAAACACTTTTATTGAAAAACTAATATATTTTAATTCCTGTTTTAAAATATTACTGTTTATATATTATATACATTAAGATCAATTTTAAACACAATACCGTAAGCATATATTAGCGAAACACCTCAAGCAGCGTCGTCCTATATACTGAAAAAATTACAAACATATAAAGTATATTAAATAACTATTGAGTGATTAGTTATTATGACACCACCATGCCCCGCCAACGTATTACGTAAATTTACAAAATACTTTACAACATTGTATAATTAAAATTATCACTCTAATTATTAAATATAATTTGTAGTCCTCATTTATTGATACGACTTTATTTTTAGTTTAAAAAATAAATAAATTGTATTCCAATAAAACTACCTTTTTTGAAACGTGTATTATACACAAATCAAAAATAATAATAAAAAATTAATTAATCCAACTATTTCAAAATAGTTTTGAATAATCTATTGAAACAAAATCATAAATGCTTATCTAAGTTTTTATTTTGTCTTCCTAATATTTACTTATTACCTTTATATATTTATTCGATGATAATAACTAATAACTATTATAGTAGAAAGTGGGGTTCAAAAATTTTTTCTTAAATCAATTAAAATGTTAAGTTCAGGCAGAAACACTACATTTTTCATCATAGTTAATCTCTCATTAAAAAATTAGAATATAATATTGCTGCGTACAAATGGGGTTCAAGGTCCATCATTAATTTGTTATCGGTTAAAACTTAAGAAGATGCCAGCCGCATTATTTTTTTTTCTCTCTCCGGCTCACGCAAACATAAACAAAACGCATTCGCTCAAAATTATTATTATTTAAGTAAAATGGCCAATTTAAGTGTTATAGATAATAATATATTTTGAGGATGTTTTTTTATATTAACATGTCTAAATAATTTTTCAAAAAGTGGGTGGTAATCAGATGACGAAATACTCAATAGTGATGAAACAAAATTATTTTACAAACAAGCAGTATAACATTAAATAATAAATAACTATATGAATTTTTATTCTCACGATGTCGTTTAATTTGTATAGGCATATTTTATTTTTGTTTGCTATTTCTATTTTTAAAGTTTTAAAAATACATATAATTAATTATAAAAAATATCATTAGTAAAGAAAAATTATTTATAAGTAATAACAAATAATAATTGGTTTTCATAAATATAATTTTAAATTAATACAGTTTTTAGAATTTTGTACTCTTAGAATTATAAAAGTATAAATTTTTAAATGAGATTCCTACAATTGTTTGTACTACGACACAATTTGTGTATAGATAAACAGTAGGAAAATTAAACTGTGTTGACTATTTTTACTGTAATTTAAAAAAAAATATATTAATAATACTTTATTTTAGTATAAATAATCTTAATGAATACAAAATTGAAGTACTTGTTCTTTATTTATATTATTTGCATCACAATTCCTACTGTGTCTAAAAATGTAGTTAGTGAAAATAGTTACTAACTTTGATAAGAATAGTTTTCGTATGATATTATTTAACATGGAATTCAAATTTAACACAACCATTAAAGTGAATAACTTAATAAAGATGGACATTCTAAACAGTTTATAGCAAATGAAAGTATATTGGACTCTTAAGTACTAACAAATTAATCTTGTTGATAAATATACTAACTGAAACGGGAATTATCTCAATGATTCAAAAAAACTTATCAGATAGTAAGTATACTTAGTAAATATCATTATTTATAAATGATGCACTGAAATAATATTAAATGTAGACACATACAAACAACTCCTTTAAAAATAAGAATGATAATCCTGAAATGTAATCAAATTTATTTTACGTGGCACCTGTGACGGTGAAATTATTTTTTATTTCAATAAAGCTGATTTTAATTTACATTATTTTTAAAGAAATAAATAATACATATATTGTAGAGGGATATATCCTCTCATCTCATTTATTTCCATTTGACCACCTCCACGAAATTACTGCATTATTAATATCCAAAACTTATTTAGGTAAGCACCTTAAAAAATGTTATTCAAATTTTAATTTTTGTATAACAGGAATTAATATTAGTCTTGACCATTTGTTAATTGTTTTTTATACAATTATTTATCATTTCCAACATATTCTTATTCCTTTTTTTATATAACATCAAGATAATTAATAACACTACTATTTCATATTAATGCGATTGATATCGGTCACTGTTTCCTAATAAGTCGATTAAATCATATTATAATAATATTTCTGATTATTCAATAATTATAGTTAAATAAAAATAATATATATATATATACGATAAATATTATATTCAATGAAATTAATTTAAATATTCTAAAAGATAAAAAATATACTTTTGTTTTAATTAAATTCCAAACAAATTATTTTTTGTTAAACTTCATAATAATTGTATCACACACATTTTATGTTTCTAGTGAAAAAATAATGACCAAGTCAAAATGTATATATTTTACATTTCCTATATTAACCTCTAAAATTATTATATAATTATAGGTTCAAATAATTTTAGTTTTTAATTATGAGTTTGTCGTAGGTTCATATTTTTCTACTTATCACCAAGGTTAGGTTAGGTTACAATTTACGCTACATAATAAAACGTCCTTAAAATGCCCAATGCCGGCTTATAATTATAAAGGGTAAAATTAAAGCAATTTTTATCACAGTAATAAAATGTTATAATATCCAACATCAAAAATTACAATACGTGAAAAAATTTGCTAACTTATTGTACTTGGATATTTCTTATAATTTCTTTTTTTTTAATAATTAATTTTTATTAATTATAAAATTTTATAATATATGTATTGTATATATATATATATATATATATCAATTATCTGTCACTTTAAACTCCGAAAATCTTAATTGAATTTCAATTTATAAAAAAAAAAAATTGTGTGTAAAGGTGTAACTAAAGTGTTTTAGTGAGATAATAATAACATATCTAATAATATGTATACGAACATAATAACTTAGTTTAAATATTTAAAACGTAAATTTAGTAAAATAATTTTTTTAATATTCCGTCATCACACAAATTTTTGTAAAAAAAAATAATAATTTTAGATAGTTTAGTTTAGCTTAATTTATTTAATATTTTATTTTAATAATTTAAAACTATAATATTTAAATACATTGAACGATTCGCTTAATGACTTCAATTGAAAATTAAAATAATAATTATTTATTAAGTAGCTGTGGACAGAATGATTTATTGAATTAATATAATTACATCTATAACTATATTAATCATTATATTGATGATAGTTATTATTATTAATAATTTTAAAGATATGAATTCAGAGTTTCTATTGTATTATATATTTTGTATTTGCAACATTATTGCACAGTGCTACATAATAGGTCCAGTTACCTGTGTTAATAACATAAATTTAGTGCACACTATTATTTGTACACATATTTTTAAAGTAGGTACTAAATAATCATTGTTTTTAATATAACTATAATATAAGATATAATATTATACAGAGTGATTCTCTCTTCAAACACATGCACTCCTCATTTTATTCTTTAATAATTAATTGATTCAACCTTTGATTTTTTGAATTTTTAAGTTTACTTATTTAAGTATCATATTTTCAAATACTTAGATTTTTATGTGATTTAAGATATTCTCTGTGACGGTACTTATATATTTTTTTCAAATAAAAACCATACTGTTTTGCAGATGACTTTTTTTTAAATATTGATGTATTAAAATGGAATTTTGAACGAGTAATTTTTTAGTAATTTAACTTAGTATAATAAGGATAAGAGTTTTTAAAAATTGTTTTACAAAAATACAAATTATACCTATGTTTTATTTTTAGTCTAATAATTATTGTACTAGGATAAATTTTACAATTATAAAATTTTAGAAGATAAGTTTTAATTATACTATTATTTTCATATCACCATAGCCTCCAAATACTTTTAATTAAATAACTTATAGTATAATATTACTTGTACAAATTTCGATTTACATTCATTAAAATATTCAAAAAAAGTCATCTGCTTAACAATTTACATGAAAAAGGGTGATTCTTGTTAGGGAAAAAGAAATTAGTTTCACTTTAAGATACTCCTTAAATTGTAAAAACGTATGAAGATATAAACCTAGGGTGGTTAAATTAAATTATAAGAAATACGGGACACCAAAATTATAAATTATTATGTATAATAATAAAAATATTAACTGCAAGTTGTACCTGTACATTGAAATCGTCAGTAATTTTAAGTTTTTTAATAAATGGTAAATCTTTTTGCAACTTCTCATTAAAATGATAGTCTTTTAGGGCGACATAGTCACTACATAAAAAAACTGAACTAAATAAAATTACGACATTACAAAGTATAAATACATACAAAACTGTTGGTAGATTCCACTCTCACATACGATTTGTATTGTCGGCAAATAAATGCGAACTGACTACTGAGTATTGCAAAATACTGACTATTAATGTATAATATATATTGTTTGAGTTAATAAGCTATACATTGTAATAAATAAATATTTCTTACATTAGTTTTCGAAATTTAAAAATCATAACATAGTTTTTCTCTGATATTTATTAATTAAGGCAGTTAAAAGTTAAAAGCAGTAAGTTGGCTAATTTTAGAAAGCGACTATTACTGTCATTGTCATACCGTCCAATATTCATTATCAAATATATTATAATAACTAATATTTACGAATAGGCTTAATTCAAAATAAAACCATTAATCAAGTAAGTAAAAATTTATAAAAATAATTTTAAATTTCGGAATATTATTATGCAATAGTCCAAACCCGGTATGAATCGGTGTCCCAAAAAAACTTTGTCCATGACTTCGAGATACGGTGTTTATTTCAGGGCTGACCCTGAGGTATTACTTCTCCTCCCCAAGAAAAATATTTACCCCAGGAAAAATTTAAGACTTATTACGTCAACTAACAATAAAATAAAATAAATATTATGATAATAATCTAACTTATCTTATTATATCTGTTGTACGACAACGTAATTAATTACCATGCTTTATTATTATTATTATTATATTTAAATATGTATGAACATTTACAATTTCATACATAACGTTCCATTTCCCTTTAATCATTTTCAAAATTATACGATTAGATTAACCATAGATGATTAAGTATACATTTTTTCACATGATACCTATTAAAATAAAATAGACCATTTAATAAACTAATAAACCTATAACTTATATCATAATAATAATAGGGGTGTACAAAATTCATATTTTCAAATGTTAATAAAATTAATTAGTTTTGATTTCACAACATTGAAACCATTAGCATTAGATTCATTACTTAGTATTAACTTTAAAACTTTTTTAAACTAAAACACCTTATTTAATATTATAATCATCGTGAATAAACAAAATTCACATTTAAAAAATAATATACTTAAAAATTCTAAAATTTAAAGAATTCGTATAAATTAATTTCATTACATACCCTTTTTATAAAAATAATAAAATTTGCAGTTTGTGTAACTATATATTATTTTGTGATAACTAAAAAATTTAAAAATTCACTATTATAACCACTTAGAAGTTTGCTGTATCATGTGCTTGAAGTTAGTGGTGACATGAACTTGTTTGCTAGACAAAATAATTTCAGTTGCACCTCCAAAATATTTTATTTGCTTAGTATCGTGGAAAGGTAGTATATTTCGGAAATTAATAAAAATATGAATTTATAATTAAAAATGTATGTTGTCATTCAAAGAAGAGAAAAACTTAAAATATTTTAACGTTAATAGATTTTGAAATAATGAGTGTTGCTTGATCATACTTACTATATTATTTTCAACTACTTGATTTTTTGAATGACACCGGTTGATAAATCTGAAGTATTGCCTGCTATCGCGGACTATGAAATATCGTATATTAAAATATTTACACTCCTTACACGTATCAGTAATTTAGGTGCAACTGCATCATTGAAGCCACCCTTACCCTTGTGCAACAAGAGATTGCACTGGCACGTGTCGGAAATTATGAGTAAATTGCATCCTGGAGATTGTTCTTCAACGATAACAAATATCAAAAATAATTTCAAAGATATCTACGAAATGCAAAACCGTGGGCTACAACAACAAGGAACTTATTTCATTTATGAGGGAGCTCAGAGAGTAGCAGTATCAGATGTAGGTACCATAGCTGGATAGCTGTTAAGATCTGAGCCCCTTCAGCCACTTAACCATTATTTTACTATTCAAACTTATACTTTGTTAACTTTTATAAAAACCTTATGTTCATTAATAAATTGCATTATTCATTTATTCAAATTATTAAAATAATTGATTGCTCAAAGTACGCACGCAACACTATATACAGGTATGCATAATGTATTATATTTATTTGTATACTTACATTTTGGTCGTGTAAGTGCTGTTATCAATAAAACAATAAGTCAAACAACCATCGTAAAACCGAAAAAAAAATAGGATCTCACACAAACATTAATTGAGGAACACTAATATTCACTGGAAATTGGAATGTGTATAAACTTTTTGGAACGTGAGAGTAAAAAAAATATACTTTACTTCCCAGTAGTATTCTAAGCGTTAAACAGTACCTAGGTACTTACCTATTAATGAATGACTATAGAGAGCCCAATAATTTAGGAAATTTATCTTCGATCCATTAATATTATTGACTGCAGTCGTCAAAGCAATGTCAGAAATATATATTATACAGATCAATATTATTTTAAATTATATTTAATTATTAATTTTTATAAATATGATTAAACAATATAATATAATACCTATATATTATATTACACTCGATATTATAGGTATTTTATTGACGAATATTTTTTTTTAGATTATTTGAACCACATCCTCTGGCCTCTAGGTAAGAATTCTTTATATTTCTTAAATTAAATTTAACCAAAAAAACAAATGATTACTACCCAATTAATTAATAAAAATCAATGTGAACGTTCGCCATTTTATCATATTGATATTTGGATGTGCACGTTTAGCAGGCACCTTTTTTTCATTGGGCGCTTTGGGCACGTGCCCAGGGCCCCGCGATTGTTGGGGCCCCCTAATTCCTATCAGATCACCAACCAATCGATATTTATTACCTTTTTTTTTTAACATCTAATTGGATATTTACAATCTGTAAAAATAGTTTACAATAAGCATATGGTTGCGTCAGGAAAAAAATGGGCTTGAATTCTTGAGATAATGTTGCAAATAATTTGCAAAAATCTATTACGAAGACGTTAATGAGGCAGAGTTGGAAATATAATGTCTGCATTTAAAAGAATACTTGGAACATGTTTATAGTGAAAATATACTAGGAATATATCATCTTTTGAAGAAAAATAAAATTGAAGACACATTTCCAAATGTAGAAATTGCATTAAGAATATTTTTAAGTATGATGGTAACTAACTGCAGTGGAGAACGCTCTTTTTCCAAATTTAAAAGAATTAAAAATGAATTAAGAAGTACAATGCTACAAGAAAGATTGAACAGTGTGTCATTGATGTCAATAGAATGTGATATGCTTAAAAACATAGACTTCAAAGAAGTAATTAACAATTTTTCCAATCTTAAATCTAGAAAGGTGCTTCTTCAATAAAAATAGAATTTAAAAAATTTACCGATTATATTTAAGTTAATATTATACTAAGTATTTAAATTTAATGTAAAATGAAAAAATAAAAATCATTTATAGTTAAATTAATCTAAACTTTTTTTTTTTTTTATCTACCACCTCCCTATTTACCTGTTTTTATAAAATAGTATTCTGTCTAAGTTGTAAAGGCCCCATTATACCATTGCCCAGAGCCTCAAAAAAGGTTAAAGACGGCTCTGACGTTTAGCGTTAAGTTTACTGTACTTCTTACTGGACGGTCGTCCAATTGCGACTGTGCTTTAAAGATACGTTTAGTGGCCTATTCTCAGCACTGTATAATCGTAGTTTTACCATTATAAATTAATCTATTCTGTGGTTTTACGATTGAAACGTATCGGAAGAAAAACGAATTTCGTAGAATATTGTTCTTATTATACGGTGGACTGTCAACGAGTACAACCATAGGCGTGCACACGGGTAGGGCTGATTGGGCTTTAACCCCACCTGAGCCATTTTTTTTAAAGTGGGTGGGTACCTAAAAAAGTTATGACTAATAAGGCGTTATAGCCGTAGAAAATTGATAACAAAATAAATCAAAATCATAGATATTTATACGACTAAATATATACGATATAGTTGCTCGTGGGCATAATTTTTTTCTTGTGTGTCCATGGCGGGGGGGAGACTGGGTGGTTAGGTTGAATTTAGCCATACCTGACTCAGATTAAGTCTGTGCACGCCTATGAGTACAACCATTGTGGTAACCGGTGGTCCTGACTATTGATGACGATGGTGACGATACGTAACAATTAAAACGATCTCGTACGATGACAATAATAGCGTGCGTCATTGTACACAATGACTGTTTGCTGCGTGCCTGCGTCGTAGAAACGATTACCCAATAAGGCTTTAGCACTGTACGTAAATAGTGTTATCTACGACTTGGGTTTCCGACTGTGATTAGTGTGATTTACGACTGATATCTGATGATATACACCGTTATATTATTATCAACATAGTAAAAATCCGATGTTATTATAAATCATTAGAGATATTAATAATATAAATATAAACAAAATAAATTTTGTTCGAACGGACAATACGTGGTACGAATAGGGGCCACCGAACATATGCACGTTATTGTTTTCTTTCTCTTTGTGGCAATTTCTCGATATTCATTATTCAATTCACAGTAATAAGTTGTATAAAAATAATAAAATAAATAAATAATAATAATAATAATAATAAAATCCAATCGGAACAGATTAGATTAGACCGTTACCGTTGTTATTCGAGGACGTATTTTTGGTAGCAGTAGACTTCTAAAACATTCATCATTGACGTTTTCCCGTCACGGTCATACTCGTTTGTCATTTGGTTATCGGCTCTCGGTAATGTAAAATAGATAGCTAGTAAGTATCCTATAATAATATTGTCTTATAAATATATATCAATTTACATTATTGAAATTCTGTGCAATAATACGATTGTTTGGCTTATACATATTGTGAGTAATTTATCGTTTTGTTTTTTTATTTTTATTTCAGACGAGTTGTGTGCAATGTCGCTGTTCATTATTGTCACATCAATACCGTAACTGTAAAACTTGTAAATATTACTGGCATAATAATTATATAGTAGTATTTCTACGTTGAAAACAAAACCATGAGTTCCCTATACTCGACACCTGTAAGCAATATTTCTTTCCAATCTTTTTACTTGTTGATTATTACTTGCATAAAATATTAATCAATATTTGTTTCTACCTAGATTGGTTTGATCTTTGTTTTTAACCTGATTATTGGGCCAGGTTCACTGACATTGCCAGCCGTTGTTCGAGAAGCTGGATGGGTTTTGAGTAGCTTATTTATTGCTTTTATGGCTTTTTTAAGGTAATATATAATTTATTATACTTATAATTAAAACTAATTAATTAACATGTACTTATTTTTCAGTTACATTACATTTTCATTCATTATAGAATCAATTTCAATTACAAATTCTATAACACAACTTCGTAAATTACAAATGATGAAAAGTGTTACCAGGGTATTGAAATCAGTAAGTAAAATATTTTAAGCTATAATTTATGTTTACTTAGACTACCATCAGAATTGCATACATTAAAAATTCTTATAACTCTTGTGTTATATAATTGTTTTTGTTATAAAAATAGTTTACTTTATTATATTTTATTGTTTTTCTAGATGCCACAAATTACACCAGTTAACTATGACAAACTTTCAAATGCTAGTACAGATAGTTATAACAGTGAAAATGAATCACCTATTTTTGACAATCCAGTATTACCTACATCCAGTATGCAACATACTTATAAAATAATATTTATTAATTTATAATCATATATAACACATTAGATACTTCATTAAATGATAGACATTTAATTTATAAAATTTAAATCTATTATAATTATCATTCAAATGTTTAGATAATATTAAATTACTATAATTTATTCATCATCATTAATCAGAAAATCTGACTAATACAAAATCAATATTAATTTAATTAGTTATAATAACTGAAAAGGTCCGAATATTTTTTGTTATTTACCTAATAAAAATATGAAAATAATTGAAGTAATGTACTTTCCATCATATTTAAACTATATTAATTATCTTTATTCTAATTTGATATATATAAATTTATAAAAATATGTTATATTTTCAGTTATTGTTGACACAATACAATTTCTATGCACTATTTGTTTCTTTCTTTCATCCCCTTACAACATAGTAAATTGGAGGAAAATAAAATAGCTAATACAAAAGAAGAACCAATCATTGTATTATTATTATTATTATTAAAAATATTAAAGTGCAAATTAATCTATTATAAAATTTAACATTAAAAATATTTGTGTTTATACATTGGATTTTTTACGATCTTTACATTTTTATGCCATTTGAGAATTTCTAAATTATAATATTTTACATACTTATAACTAAGGCCCGAAACTTGATGCATTTGCATTTTTTTTTCTAATGCTCACATTTAATGCATGTCTATACAGAAATTTGATTTATGAAGTATAGACTTTAATGGTACAATTTTTATTTTGCATTTTTTACATTTTTAGGGAATTTTATGCTTTACGGTCATTTTATAGTATTTTTGGTGCATTTTACTCATTTATGTACTTTTTTTTACAAATATTTGCATTTTTCTTTTTGAAAGTTACATTTTATTGTAACGCACGCAGTTTCCATTAGCTTGTTTTAAATAGACTGTTGGCAGATATTATTTTAGGCCCGGAACGCCCATGTGCTTACAATTGGTTATCGCGGTTAATGATACCGAATAATTGCAATAGTAGTATTTTTTATATATATATATTTTTAATATATAGTTTTATTTAGTTAAATAAAAATAATTTTAATAATATAATATAATAATTTTTGTATCAAAACAATACCTATTTATCAATTTTTACAGTAAAATATACATTTTTTCGTGTTGTTTTATGCATTTTTTTTTTGTGCATTTTTTATATATTTTTAGATTATTAAGTTCTGGGCCCTACTTATAACTTATATTAAATTTTTTTTTATATTGTAAAAAGAACAATAAACAAATAGATAATGTTATTAACTTAAGCTTTTTAATAGGTCAATTCACTCTAATATTATAATTAACAACACAAGGTCTTCTGAATGCAAATTTTACCATGTTGCAAATGGGTCCAAGAGAAAAAACAAATATTGATCCATCTTTTCTTAATGTTTTGATTAATGATTGTTAAATGTTAATATAATAAGTTAATTATTACTGTTATTTTTGTCTATATATTATTGGGAATGTTCTTTTAATAAATAATACCCCTTTAATAATATATTAAAACATTTATTAATTTTAATTTATTTCTCTTTTAGGTTCTTTAATGGACTTTCCTCCTGAATCTGTTGAATTACTTTCACTTGATAATAGGATAGAATTGGTAAAGTATTATATATTCAAAAATTGTTTTTGTACGTTACTTTAAATTTTTTAATAATTAATTATTTCAGGGTGAAATGGTAACAGTACTATTACCTCCATTCGCTAAAGTGTTGTTTTTTTTTTCCATTAGTGGCTATTTATTTGGTGATTTAGCAATTTACTATAAAGCAATTGGACAATCACTTGTAGACTTCACCTGGTAAATTGTCCATTTCTTAATTAAAATAATTGTTTAATATTATTATAAATTTATCAAACTATTTAGTGATCACAAATCAAATAATAATTCTGCTAATAAGTCAGATTTGTGCTGGGAAAATTCTTCTTATACTAAACATGAAATTTATTTAAGCTATTTGGTATGTTTGTAATTTTTTAATAATAATTTTACTAAAATGATTGGTATTAATATTATAATAATTGTTAAAAATAGATGCTGTATATTTTAATAATAGGACCATTCACATTTTTTAATGCTCAAAAGACTAAATACTTACAAGTTATTGGTTTTCTCATGCGTATTATAGGTAAGTTTTATTTTACACACAGTATATGTTTTTACCTATTTACTTTTTAGCATAATTCTTCAAATTTGATCTCTTTGTATCTATTCACTTATTTTTTAGCATTTATTACAATGATCGTTCTAGCAACAATGCGACTGATATCTCCAACCCAAAAGCATGGTTATACACCAGCATCAAACTTTATCGCTATGCCACAATTAATAGGCGCTACAATTTATGCGTTTATGTGTCATCATTCAATCCCATCTGTGATTTCACCTATCAAAAATAAAAACAAAATACTGTTGAAAGTAGCAGCTAACTTTTTGTTAGTATATACACTGTTAATGTGTTTGTGTATGACAGGTGTTTTTGCATTCCCAAAAGTAAATGAATTGTATACTATAAATTTCTCACCATCACAAGATACTAGATTATTTTATCGACTAATCGATTCAATATTGCTTCTGTTTCCTGTATTGACAATCAGTATTAGTTTTCCAGTTATTGCTATTACATTAAGAAATAATATCCAAGTAAGCATAAGATTTATTTATTTTAATTTTAAGTTTAATCAATAAGGTCATGTGGTATAACATTAGTTATAAAAAATGTTTCTAACATTAATATTAGTGATTAATTATTTTTTAATAATAAAAATATAAATTCATAAAATACTGGATATTAAGTTATAAATAAAGTTAATTTATTCAAAAATAAATTTTGTTAATAAACCATATATATTCGCCCAAGTCATGTATATGTTTTTGTTGTAGGTGATGTTTCTTCCAAATGATGCACATTGGACCTGGAGGCGAATAATTATACCATTGTTCTCTTTGATTACGCCTGTGCTTTTAGCGGCTTTTGTGGCACGTCTTGAAGTTTTAGTAAGTATTTAATCGTTTATTTGTTATACATTCATTAATTATACATATTTTCAACATTAAAATGTCCTAATCTTTGACGTAAGAACTGTATCCTTTTAGTTTATATGTATTGTATAGAAGAAATTATCGTTATTGCTTTATATTAACAAGCAATATAGTTTTAGAATATATAATTTTAGTTTTTAAGTACAATCATATTCATAATATAGTGAAGTATAATAATTAATACTCATGCAGATATATTGCTAATATATGTATACATATGTATTGTTTTAATTTAAATTAATTATTATAGTAGGTGAATTATGAATTATTTTGGTAACAAGAATTTTAAATAGTTAATTTTCTTAATCAAATTATATAATGAAGATTTATGTGTTCTCTCTTCACTTGATCTGTATAAATGTTTAAAAATATATTATGTGATAGCTCATCATTGTCAAAATAAATATAAATTATTTAATGTTGATAGTTATTCATAATTAGACAATTGTATTAAAAAAACACCGAAGTTTGATTAAGAAATACCTACATTATACAAAGCGTGTGATAGTGTATTTATAGGGAAAGCCTTCTGAATATTATGAAAGAATTCCATTTTCCACAAAAACTGATATCAAGCTAATAAAACATCAATCATTATCACAAAGACCTTGGTATGAGTTTAAGTATGAAATTCAACAACTTACTTGATTACAGTGAACTCGAGGCTAAGATTAGATGGCAATTTTTTTAAACATGATTCTTGAAAAGGTGATAAGAAAAATAAGAATTGAACCTTACAAAGGTAATTGACTACAAGACACTGCAGTGGGTTATCAGCTTATGCATATGATGCAGTATTGATGGGAGAATCAGAAGATAGGTTGAAGATATAATTTAACAGATTGTATAAATAAAGCAGCATCAAAAGTAGGACAACATGTTAGTAAAGAAAAAACAGAAGAATATATGATTTTGAGTAGATGAAAGCTACCGTTTTGTCAATTCATTAAATAGATCATTTTGAATTTAAAGAAGAAGAACAATTTAATCGGGAATAAATATTATTATGGACTTGAAAAATTATTAAATTCATGAGCACTGTCGCAAATAATGAAAAAACAATTTAATTATGTCCCTGATATGACAAGTTATACATATATTGTATGGATCTGAAACCTGGCCACTTAGAAAAATGAACGAAAATAAATTCATTGTTTTTGAAAGGAAAATGTATGACCCAGTCAAAGATGATATAACTGTGAAGTGGAGATGAAGAAAGAATATAAAGTTGAAAGCATTATACAGTGGTTTGGACATATTGAAGGTAATCATAAAAGGAAGACTATGATGGGCCATGCTTGGAGGAACCAAAATCTACTGTTATGTGCAGTGAAGAGCAAGAATGTGCTGAAATGATGTTATTAAAAGGGATGTGAAACAGTTTCTAATCGAAGGGATCTAACATTTGACAGAGAAGGATGGGAACTTGTTTTTGAAATGAGATGATCTTAAAGGCCCAATTAATTTAAGAAGAAAAATATAGTTATAGTGTATTGGATATAAAATTGCTTTCAATTACCTATAGATTGAAAAAACAACTATTTGCCTTTATACTATTATTTCTATCAAAAATGATTAGTTTAACATACATTATTATCTGGATTTTCAATAACAGAAGTAGTGGGACATACAGTCCTTTTAAATGTTAATTTAAAATGTTTCAGGTTTCAATTGTTGCTGTGTATGCTGGTACTGGTGTTCAGTATGTAACCCCTGCATTATTGGTCATGGCTGCACGTGCTGAAATTCCACAACAAGTGGCTGCAATTAAAAATGATTATTGCTCACCATTTAAATCTAAATATTGGCCGCTGTGTGTTCTGATATGGACAGTAATATGTATAATAGTTTTAACCATTTCCTTGATAAGTAAAGAATTCAAATGAAAGATAGACATAAGCTCATATGAACTTGTCACTATTATGTTTGTCTACCAATTTAACTTTTATCAAATATGTGAATATATTTTACTAAAAATTTATTTAAGAGATATAAAGACTATGATTATTTACGTCACGTTAAGTGTATACATAATATTTAACTTAATATAAGTGTTGTTATTAAAAATATATATTTTTTTCTCAATTACATTTTATATACATATAAAAAAAAAACAAGTAAAAAAAATTTGATATATTAAATTATATATGTTTTTACTATTTAACATCTGAGTTTATAACATATGTTATTGCATTTTTAATGTTTATTATATAAATTCTTGTAATTTTCTATATACAATGGTTGCTTTGTTTGTTTTGTGTCTCAGCGATTAATTATTACGATGATTTCATTAAACATATTATACAATTGTTGTATCAGAAAAAATACATATTGTTGAATTTAAATTTATTGTTATTAATTATTATTACTTGTAATTTTTCTATACTGCATTCACAAACCATGGCAGCAACTTTTATTCGTTGAGCAGCAATCAAGTAATATCCCTTTGTTTGTCTGTTGTATAGTAGAGAATACGCATAGATTGATAGATTGGTTGGACTTGGACCTTGAACATACTCTCCCGACATCTCGCATAGGTGTTGATTGGACATGGGTGCTTCAAGTATTATCACGATTATTTCATCTATTGAGGAAAGTTAAAAGCCTGCAGTGCTTGTAATGTTCTAACTTCTAAGACACATCCAAACATTCACTGTTGCAGTTCTCTATGTATGTGAATTGAACACAGAGTTGAGGATTGAATAGGATCAACAAAACTAATTTAAACCTAACTTACAACGTCAGACTATACATTTGCCGGTTAATAATTCACCAATTCCTTATTTTCTAACCACTGATTTGGTAAAATATTTGCTATTCAATAATAATAATAAAAAAAAAATCAGTAAATGAACCTATAATAATTCAATATTGAAAAAGGCATATTTTTATTTCATGTCCAAATAAGTCTGATGATGGTGCAATCGTTTTTGTTTTAAAACCAATTTGAAATGTATTTTGTTTAAATCTCCAAAGGCAACTTTTTTAATAATAACGAATATTCTTTTATAAGCGTAAATGCTTTTATTGCGGTAAAAGAGAATAAATCTAAGTATAACTAAAATTACATACTAATTAAATAATTTATCGATTCTATTCAATAAATATATAAAATAATAAATTAACATACATTTAAACATTCATAGAGGTGTACGTTATATTGATTGCTATTTTTCTGTATCCCGCAATACACCTTATCCCATAATACACCTTATCCCATAATACTGTATCACACAATATATCTTATCCCATAATATACCTTAACCCGTAGTATACCATATCCCGAATATAGCTTATCCCTTAGTAAACTTTATAACGTAATATACCTTATCCCGCAATATACATTATCCTATAACATACTGTATCCCGAAATATGGACACATCCGGAGTATAGACCAACCCGAAATATGTAGTATCCCCCAGTAACAACCATCCCGAAATAACCATATCAAATATTTTTTTATCAGTATAATTTCCATTTTATTGTGGTATTTTTGGTTTTGTGAGTCCGATATACTATCAGGTTTATTTAAATAGGCAATACATGATTTTATTTAAATTTCCTTCATTTTTACGGAAATATGTACTAAAATAAATACATCATAATACAACTAATATTATTATACATTTGATGAATAAAATGTAATATAATATTTATTGGTAACTACTGTATTGTAAATATAAATTCCATGTTAGCTAGACATTTTTTTCGACAGTTTGGACGTTTATTATATATAAAAATTACGATGGTACAATGGTAGATTCTATTAAATTATAAACTTTTTGGTTCATGTATATGATTATCAATGGCAATAAAGTTAAAACTCTGTGAAATATGCAGTAATAAATAAATATCACATTATTTTAACCAAAAATTAGAAAATATTAAAAGTAGGAACCAATTATCGGCTGAGTGAGCGCGAATGATTAAATATTCAATAACATATCATTCTTTCTGAAATATATATATATTCCGCAATATACCTTATCCCGCTGTATACTTTATCCCGTAATATATATATTTATATCCCGTAATATACAGTATCCCAAAATATACATCATTTAACAGATTGTATAAATAAAGCAGCATCAAAAGTAGGACATGTTAGTAAAGAATAAACAGAAGAATATATGATTTTGAGTAGATGAAAGCTACTGTTTTGTCAATTCATTTTATAGTTCATTTTGAACTTAAAGAGGAAGAATAATTTAATCGGGAATAAATATTTTTATGGGCTTACAAAATTTACAACTTCTTTAACACACTTAACAAACACCGTACCAAAAAATATCCTCTAAATCGTCTCAACACAACGTTACCAAAACCCTTTTCTGAAGTCGAAAAACATAAATAACCACGCTCTGCTTCATGTTGCCGCCGAAGCTGATCCTACGAATAGTGCGGTTATCGGCAACGACTCGCGACTTGTGATGAGACGAAAGCGGGAGGGGGTTATTTTAAGTTGTTTTACAAATTTAATTATATTACTAATTATTGGCTAACAAACAACATATATTATAATAACATAGAAATAACAATGCGGCGCCCTAGAATATACACCGGATAAATATATGTATAATAATAATAATTAACAGTAGTTTTTAAGGCTAGGATCACACTATGCGTTTTGTCGGTTCCCGACCAACCAGAGCTGAACCGCAACACTTTAATATAAAATAGATTTAAATATAAAATTCGTTATCAGGGCCAGACTAGACCAATTTGCGGAACCGATTAAAAATTGTCTTGAAGCGACTGAAACGTGTTGCGGCCCATCCGTCCGGTTGCGTTTCGGGATGTAAAGCACAACACATTGCAATGCAGTTTGTCCGATCACATACATTTGCGCGGATTATCGGTAACCGAAATTGAAAATTTTATGAATAATTTATAATCATTTTTAAATTTAAATAATTAAAAAACTTAAAATATATTTGTAATATACATATATATATTATTATATTTTATTTATATTGTAGATGTATATTATTATTTATTAGCATAATTAGTTGATCCATGTTTTAAATAAAAACAAATAATTCTAATTACACAACCTTTTTATTATTTTTTTACTTATAATATTAGATACATTTCGTTTAAATAAAAAATCAGTTTAAAATTTAA